ACACAGGTTGCCACCCAGCCAGAACCTCTGAAGACCATGTGGTCTCTGAAGTATGTGCAGCCTCCACCCTCATTAACTCACCCAGGACTGGAGAGTCGGGTTACCTGAACTCCCAGGAGGGGGCTGTTCAGAATGTGTTAAATCCCTGGGCAAAGAAGTTTCAACCAGTTTCGGCAGGATGCATGAGAAACAAAAAGAGAATGCGGTTTATAATGTGTCTGGGCAACAAATACTGCAAAGAGGCACTAAACAGGAAATTCTCTGCTCACAATGACTGCCCATCTCCTAAAAAGGCCACTCCTTCTCCTTCTTGGTGGTATTGGCGCCTTCTGAGCACAGGTAGACTGTGTGAGCGAGCCAGGCCCAGCATGAGCCTGGACAACAGGACAGCAAGGACACTGGGCTAAAGGTGGGGAACCTGAGCTGTATCTCAGCTTGCAGCTTCCTGCAGGCCTCAGGCTAGCCAATTTAGAAGGACCCATCTAGAAAGGAAGGGCCCTGACGAATGAGTTCCAGGTCCATTTCTCTTATTAAAAAGCCAATGAGTTTTTGTGATGTAGGCCATTCTTCCTGGGGTGCTAGCATGGATGTGGAGAGAAGGGAACACTTTTACACTGCCGGTGGAACTGCAAACTAATACAACCTTTTTGGAAGGAAGTATGGAGTATCTTCAGAGAACGCAAACTAGACCTCCCATTTGATCCTGCAATCCCATAACTGGGCATCTACACAGAAGAAAAAAAATCCTTTACCATAAGGACACTCGCACTAAACTGTTTATCGCAGTTCAATTTACAATCGCCAAAATGTGGAAACAGCCTGAATGCCCACCACCCCAGGAATGGATTAACAAGCTATGGTATATATATACCATGGAATACTATTCAGCCATTAAAAAAGATGGAGACTTTACATCTTACATATTAACCTGGATGGAAGTGGAACACATTATTCTTAGTAAAGCATCACAAGAATGGGGAAGCAAGAATCCAACGTATTCAATTCTGCTATGAGGACACTTAATGACTTAGTACACTGTGGGGGTAGGGGAAGGGGAGAGCAGAGAGAGGGAAGGAGGGAACGGGTGGGGGGTCACAGGGTGTGACACACCTTTTGGGGGCTGGACACAAATAGAAGAGGGACTTTACCTAACAATTGGAATCAGTGTAACCTGGTTCTTTGTACCCTCAATGAATCTCCAATAATAATAATAATAAAACACAGTGAGGCTTTTTAGAAATTGTTTTGCACATGTGCACCTATGTATACCTCCTAACCAGAAGGCAAACTTTCCAAGAACAGGAATTCTTTGATTCATTCTGCATGTCTTTTTTTTTTTCTTAATTCAGATTAATACGACGGTACAAACAATTAGGTCACAATGCTTCCGTTTCTTAGGTAAGGTCCAAGTTATAGTTGAGTCCTTCACCCAAGAAGTGAGCCACATACTCCTACACCCAGCCTGTTAGGTGAGAGCTTACCGACCCCCTCCCTCTTGTCTCCCCTTCCCTGCTCCAACCCCAATTTGTGTTTTTCTCTCCTGTGGGTGTGTGGTTGTTCACTTGTTACTGGTTTCAGGTTACATTGGGTGCCTGCTTTTCTTGTGATACTCTACTAAAAACAAACCCCGAGGCATCACTTTACCAGACCTCAGGTTATATATACTACAAGTTTATAGTGATTAAAACACCTTGGTATTGGCACAAAAATTGAGGCATAGATCTATGAAAAGAATGGAGAATCTAGAGATGCAACCAGCCTCATCTCAGCATCTGATCTTCCACAAACCAAACAAAATCATACACTGGGGAAAGAATCCCTATTTAATAAATGGTGCTGGGAGGCACCAAACAGGCACGAACTGAAGGACTGATAAGAATTTCAGGCGTTGGACTGACCAACACCAGGACGGTCCGGACTCAGTGGCCAGGGTCTGCAGCCTGAATGACCGCCCATGGCTCGGAGCACAGAAAACAGCACCCTTGGACCAACCACACTGTGACCCAGAACTTTGCACCTTCCTCTCTGTCCCACGTCTCGTAAAACCCTGGTGGCACGCTTGGTGCCAGGAGAGCAGGGCTTGGAAGCTGTTGGGGAAGCCTTGCCCTTCGGTCGGTTACTTCCCAGCCAGCGGCTGGCGGGATCTGGAGCCAGCGCTGCCAGTCGGCGCGCTCCGGCCCAGGGTCGCTCGCGGGGCAGGGTCGGGGTCCAGAGGACACAGCACTCAGCACCGAAGGCTGGGCCAGGGACTGGGACCCCGAGCGCGGCCTCCCGGGACACGGGACGCGGGCCCGGGGAGGAAACGCTGGGGAGGGCGCCACCTGCTGGTGACCGGGGCCTGCGCGGCGGGCGAGAGACTGGAGCCCGGATGCACAATCAGAATTCGGGCGGTTTTCCGAGTTGCTGGGGTTCTGCTTTCTCTTCAGGGCGGCCACGCCCCCGCCGTACCAGAGACCCTGTGCCCCGCGCGCCATCCTGAGACGCGGGGCTCCCGCCAGGGGCGGCGGCGCCCCCCTCCCCGGGCGCGCGTTCCCAGCCCGGGGCACTCGCGCGTCTCCGGCAGGTGCCGCCGTCCTCCCCTCGCCGCCTCCCGCCTCCTCCCGGCGGGCGCACGCCAGGGCCGCCCCTCAGCGCCAGGAGGTTAACCCAGCCCCGGTGGAGGTGAGGCCGCGGCGGGCCGGGCGGAGATGGCGGGCCCACCGTCGGGGCTGGCGCCAGAGTCCGGCCGCCTGCCGTTCCTGCAGGTACCGCTCATGTTCTCCGCCACACGTGGCTACGGCCAAAGATTGCCGTGAGCTTTCCGGCTCTCAGGCTGGAAATGCCTCCCGGTCCTTTTAGAGGCGGGCAGCTCACCACTTAATCCAAGCTTTTTCCTTCCTGCCCGAGACCGGAGGCTGCGGGGAGGAAGCGGAGGGGGCCGGAGAAGGGAACAGACCCAGCTGGCTCGGGGTCCAGAGCTTATGTCAGCCTTAAGGCCAGTCTTGGGGACCAGGGGGAGAGCCCAACCAGAAAGATAACTCCCACTCTCCCCGCTTTTCCAAGAGTGAGTGTGAGAGTTCAGCGCACATGCCTGTATGGGCGCCTAATTACCTCACACTCCACTCCCCTCACGACCCTGATTGTGTAATAATTCCCTTGGGGCTGAATTAACCAAATCTGGGCCCGGAGCCATTTAGGAATTAGCAGTGAAAATTAAACAACAGCTTGAAGGATAAATCTCTAGTTAAAACATAAAATGTTGCTACATTTGATAAAGTATCTAGATTCTAATATTAACCTTATTCACTGCAAATCTTGGCCTTGGGAATAGTACCCAGACCTTAAATTTCCCCCCATCCCCTGTAGATTGAATGGGAAGCTACTGCTAAGGTTACAGCACTGTACAAGGCCTGTTTTCACAGCCTTAACATATTATGTGGCATCTGCCATTATCACCATTTTCCCGGGGTCCTGGTTGGTCTCTGTTTCATCGCATATCTTTTACACCAGGCTAATGGGCCAGGCGGTGGGGACACTTTGCTTCTGGACCTTGTTTGTTAATTTAGCTGAGGGGTTGCCTCTTTTGTGCCCTCTTAATTTCTGTAGCTCAGCATTCCCTCCCCTCCCCCCAAAGCTTGCTTACAAATTTCCCTTTGATATGTTTAACAGCCTCTAAGGGATCCGGTTAAATAAACTATTAAGTTAAGAATAGAAAAGTCAACAGAACAGGCACCTACTAATTTGTAGATCTTTGATGTCAACTACCAAGTGTCAGCTCCTACCAGCAAACACTTCCCCTTGTGCCCTTACTGTTTTTTCTTCTTCACAGATTCCACGGGGTAGTTTTTAAAAGTTAACCTTGGTGTTTGAAAGTACCTTGCAGTCAGCAGAGTCCCCAAATGTGGGATTCTGATGGAGGAAAGGCTGATTCCCAAAAGACCTCCCCAAAGTCCAGTGACTGAAGAGATGACGGTTGATTTTAGAACTAAATGTTGCCTTTCCTTCCCCTCTCCACGCCCCTTGTGTCCCCTTCCCACACTCCGTATAAGGCTGCATATTGTCATAGGCAGCTTTGTACCGTCCTTAGAGTTTGTGTCTGGTGTGTAGACCCTGCTTGTGCACTAGGTTATGAGCTCCTGGAGGCATGACCTCTGTCTATCGTTTTAGTCCCCCCTCCCTGTGTGACCTGCTTATACCAAGCATGCCTAAACACCTATCAAGTAAATAACCCAGATCAACTCAGGTTGATATCCTGGAGGAGATTGATTTTGATTTGAGTGTGGATTGCCTGACAGGTGAAAGACCTGAAGGTTCTTAGGAGGCAGGTGCCTGTGACCTTGGCCTCTCCTTCGCAATCAGACTCACAGCAGCTCCTGGAGTATATAGATGATGGAGCGCCCATTAGGGGAGAGGCTCCAAATGCCCAGGCAGGCTGCTCCAGTCCTTGTTAGGAAATGCACAGGCCAGCATAATAATAATAAATGGGTTCGTGTCAGAAACCTTGGTTTGCCTCTAGTTCCTGCATTCTGTTTTCCAAGAGCGTGCTGGTGCGCGCAAACTCAGGTGCAAACACTTAGGTTTTATTACCTACCCCGCCAAAGTCTCAAAGATGCAAAGCGTGCTTGTCTTTTCTCCAACTCCGACCCCACGCTGCAGACACTGGCCGAGTCCCTCCTGGGGAGAGTGCGCCCCCTCCCCCCCTCGGCTCTGCCTAATTTCGTGTCAGCCCAGTCCCAGTCCCTGTGTGAAGGCAACGCGTGCGTATTTGCATGCATATAGTCATCCTTAACTTCTCTCCCGGTAACGACGTTGCAACGTGGGGACAAAAAGTCACAGCTCCGCTCCGTGCTCAAGATGCTTTTTGGTCAATAATGGTGACAAAAGCCGAATTTCCTCCTATTCAGGGGAAAGACAGACACCACAGCCTTTCCCCCCACTGCCCGCCCCGCATACATCTCCTTTTCCAAGTGTTTCCTCTTTAATTATGACCTGTCTCCCCTCCCTCTCCCCTCGCCCCAGCCTCAGTGAAAGCTGCTCTTCTGTCACTCGTCACTCGCTGGCTGGCTGGCTGTGGGAGGAGCCCGCCGGAGAAAGCCGTGTGCCTGGGATGCCGAGAGCCAGAGAAAGGATCTGCTCCGAGTGGGGACGTTGCTGAGGATCCCCGCTGCCCGAGGCAGCTAAAAACAGGCGATTTGTCTCGGCTGGCTGCAGATTCCCGGAGGCACAAAGAGACCCAGGCCACCCGGAGGGACCGACGGACAGACAGATGGTCAGCGAGACCCGGAGAGGACGCGCGGCGCAGGCTGAGCTCCGGAGCCCGGGGAGAGAAAGTAACTGCACGCCCAAGTTGCCCGCCGGCTTCCCCTCGCCGCGCTGAGGAATGAGACCTTTCCAGCTCGACCTGCTCTTCGTCTGCTTCTTCCTTTTCAGTCAAGGTAGGACCGACGCGCCGCTGGAGTTGGGAGAAAGTCGGCTGGGTTGTCAGGGCGCGGGAGGCTGTGGGCAGGAATGTGGGCAGGCTCTGGGAACTCGGGCTGATTGATGCGTCTCTGGGTGCCCGGCTGAGATGCCCTGGCATTGCCTCTGTGCCTTTGCAAATGCAACAAAATGGTACTGTTTATCTGCCTTCCGAAGGACGGGGTCTGCGAGGGGAGGGGGCGACTTGTCAATATCCAGCTCAAACTCTCCAATGCAAACGAGTTCTTTATGCTCTTGGTGTGTTAATTAGGTAGTATCTCCGTGGCTGTGCGGCTCTGAACTTCTGCGCACCCCCTCGCCTTCAGACCCAGCTTGAGGAAGGCAGGGCAGGGAAGGAGAGCTTTGTTTAGGTGGATATTTCAGCTGGAATAAGGTCTGACTTGCACTAGTGTATTCAAAAGCGAACGTGTGTGGTTTGCACAGTTGCAGAAGGGGCTGCAATTACAGAATGTGCCGTGGGGTTAATTTGCAGTGGCTGGGAAATCTGGTGAAGAGTTTCATTGAACGGCATAGAGCTCCCTGAATAAGGCTGAATTCTGAAGCCTACACAGCCCCGATTCCCTGTATAAAATGCAGCTTCACCCTCTGTGCTGATTGTTTCCTTTCTGCAGCCCGGTAGGGGCAGAGAGGCAAGCTGGTGAACTCTCCTGAAGGAACTTTGCCACCCCTGGGCTCCCTGCCACTGGGAGCCGTGGGGCCGGTGGTGGCAGAGAGAGGGGAGGAATTTTCATGAGGAGGATTGTAAGTCCCTATTTAGCCAAAGGCATCAAAAGTCACCTGTGGAATTGAGTTAGAAGGGACAAGTATACCTCGGTGCTTGCCCAGTCTTTTGGAATGCCAGTGCCACCTCTGCCATCTGAGGCAGCATTTGTGCCAGCCAGCATGGCTCCGAGAGGAACAGGACTCTCCCAGAAAAACCCACAACAGAGCACGTCCATCTGTTGATTAAATGAAGGGTAAAAGTTTTCGAGAAAGCAGAGCACCGCCATGGGTGGCTGGCATTGCACGCAAACAGCACGGCTCCCATTCTCCCCTGTCAGGGAGAAGCCAAATGGAAGCAGAAACCTGGCTTCCTTCCTCCCCTCTCCCACTGGTACTTGTGGTCACTGCAGGTTTTCTCCTTATCTGTGCAGTTCAAACTTTGCTTTTCACCCTCCTGATCAAAGCTGGGGAGCCCCTCCTTCATATACGTGTGTGTTAGTGTGTGTGTGTGCGCCTACGTCGTGTATAATGCTAATGTGTTCTCATGTATTCCTGTGGCCGTGTGCTGCTCACCAGGGATCTCTAGAGCAGCAGGAAGATAAATTGCCTTCCCCAGAGTTTTCAGGCTGAATGAATAAGAACTATCTCTGAACACTGGTTTGGAGACAGGTTCGGTTCTGTTACCATTGTGTGGATTACCCTCTGTCTTGGATGTGTGCGCACCTGCTTATGGGCACACACGCACAAGCACTCACCTGCTTATTCTGCTTTTCTTCTTACCAATTCACTCAGGAAGTTGTATATAGAATCCCTGAGAGGCGGAGGGAATCTTCCATACACACACAGCCCTTCACACACACAGGTGTGCATGGGATCAGTGCACATTGTCATCAGTCCTGTGGTTTTAGAAGCTGATCAGCGACTCTTATCTAGACTGGCATGAGAAGCCTATAGGTGTCTCAGTGTCTCCCTGGCTGTCTAAATCATTAGAGTGTGCGTCTTCTCCTCTGCTTATCCTTCCTCTGCACAGAGCTGTTTCTTGACTGCCTCATATGAATCTTTAAATATTTACCTGGAGGTTAAATGCTCTGTTTCATCTACCCTTACCCCTGTGGGCACTAGGGAGAAGCCACAGCATCTTGCAATCCAGAGTACCTTGCTACTCCAGAGTATTCTGAGCTTGCCCACCCTACTTAATGGTAGATGCCCATCCGTGGGACTCCAAACCATGTCTAAAGAAAGACGGAGATCGAAGTGGACGGCCAGAGCACCCCACACCACTGCATGCTGTAGTTCAAAGATGGCCTCTGGCCACAGGAATTAAGGGTCAGGCGGTCAAGAGGGAAGATGGTTTAGGACTTTGTTGAGATATAAATGTGACTTGATCTGTGGACTTTTTTAAATACAGAGGATGTTTTGAGTACTGTGAATTCCCAGAGAATTCTATATGGACATCTTTCCATAAGTGCCTAGTTTACACACGGCCTTAGCCCCACATAGGACACACATTCCAGGTATGGGCGACATCTCCCCTTCTGACAAGTCACAAGAGCATCGGCCCACATGGCTCCAGATAGCACCTGCTATGACCCCTGCCCCCACCTGGGACCAAGGCTGCTCCCACCTGACATCCCCAAAGAGCCCCTGGCCTGCCTCCTGCCCCCTGTGGTGCTTTTCCAGGGACCTGCACAGAGACTTGGGGGTGGCCTTCACTCATAGAATGCAAATGTCCAGAGTTCCTTTTAGGGCTTTATCTGGCACGCTGAGACACAGCCATCTGCTGCCCAACACCTCTCACAGTAGGAATCTGCGTGCCATTTCGGCGTTTCTGGGAATACTGTCACCAAGCCTTGTGCTCCCAGTGCACAGGGAGTACTTCAGACAGTGCTCTGAAGACTCTGATCACCAAACATGCAGGTCGTCTCTTAAAGTTCATCCTCACTGTCCTTTGCCTCCTAATTTGTTGAATATTTATTCATCTTTACTTTTGTTTTTGGTTTTGATTTTTGGTAGAGATGGGGTCTCACTATGTTGCCCAGGCTGGTCTCAAGCCTTTGGGCTCAAGTGATCCTCTTCCCTCGACCTCCCAAAATGCTGGGTTACAGGCACGAACCACCACGCCCGACCTATTCACCTTTACTTTTTTTTTAAAATAAGCCTTTAGAGAAAGAGCAGACTTAATGTATAATTAATGTGAGTAATATGCTGTGTTCCTATCCTTTTAAAGTTTAGGCTTTTTGTGTAGACCGAGATCAAGATATTTCTGCATCTTTCCTAAGGTGGCAGCAGAAAGGCTAAATGCTATTCCACTCTTTCTGCCCCTGCCGATGTCCCTGGCTCCCAGGAAGACAGAGAGCTGCCCGCGTGAGCTGCTTGTGAGTTTCCCTCTTGCTGGGGACGCCTCCTCCCTTAGCTGACAGGATGGTCGTGCTTTGTACAGAAAGGGATAATGTCACAGCACAATTTGCCTCCTGCAGAGAAGAGGCATGTTCTGCCCCTGGGTGAAAAGGAATCGATTCTCTTGTCATCCATAAACTTAGAACTTGCCGCATCTTTTTCCCTCCATCATTGCAGTTCACCCACAACTGTTTCCTCCCATGCCCTCCTCATTCTTCAAGTCCCTTCTCATCCACCTTGCACGTACACATCTTAGGTAGCTTTGAGGAGCTGTGTCTTTGTGGGACTGATGACTCCCTGCCTCCGCTGAGATCTCCAGTTCTGAAACAGCGAGGGGAGGGGCAGAGGTACAGACTTGGCGTCTTCTACTTCATGTGCTCTTAGGAAGGTGTTCTCTTTACTCTGGCGTTCCCAGAGAAACATGTCCTGCCTTGCAACTTCCCGGTTCGGAAGGCAGGAATTCTGCTGAACCTTCTCTTGTTGGCTTCGCATGTGTGCTATGCTGCCCTGAAGGGTTTGGGGTGAAAGTGAAAACTTAGATTTCCCTGCTAGTGACATCCCTGAGCTAAGGATTAATTCAGGGTGCCATATTCTCCACTTTGGGTAGGGCCAAAGGAACCCATTTGCTTCCCCCATGGGCAGAAAACACCAAACTGGGCTGTCAGGTGGTTGTGAGAGGGCAGGGGGTCATGGTGACCTCCATCTCCCAGGGGGTCACGGTGACCTCCATCTTCCAAGGGGTCACAGTGACCTCTCTCTCCCAGAGGGTGATGGTGACCTCTCTCTCCCAGGGGGTCACGGTGACCTCTCTCTCCCAGGGGGTTACGGTGACCTCCATCTTCCAAGGGGTCACGGTGACCTCTTTCTCCCAGGGGGGCACGGTGACCTCTCTCTCCCAGAGGGACACGGTGACCTCTCTCTCCCAGAGGGTGATGGTGACCCCTCTCTCCCAGGGGGTCACGGTGACCTCTCTCTCCCAGAGGGTGATGGTGACCCCTC